TAAAAAAACTTGAATTTTAAATTGGCTGCTATTGGAACAAGATTTCTAAATAACTCTGCTTGTATGACTTGGTTGAATAGGATTAATTATTTTTGACTTTTTGTTGTTATGTATTTCATGCTATAATAAGTGGCAACTAAAGGTTTTCTTTTCCATATATAAAAATATCTACTCCGTGTCAGCTTGACCTCCAATGTCATGCTAGGTTCAAATAAGCTTGTGTACAAATGGAAAACATATTCAGAAATAAAAATTAACTCTGTTTTTGTTGTGAGCATCTTTGTTTAAATAAAGCCTGTTTGTTATTCAGTAAAGTTCATTAATGTTGGATGAAGTAGTCAAACATCTTATGTAGGAGTAGTGATATTTTCTAAAGATATTACTGAAGTAAAAATATGATGGAGCATTTAGATTAGGAAATTTCTTATGTACTCTTGCTCTTCCAGTGTAAAATTAACTAGATCCACGACCGTCCAGTGTATATAAAAATATAATCAATCAAGTTCTGATACAAAGTGAACTTAATTACAATTAAAACTTCGAGATAAAGCATCATTGTCAAGTTTATCATTTAAGCTGGTAAAATTTGTCTAAAAGTTTGTTTTGTTACCTGATGAAGGCGTGTTGTTCAGTTGAGTGGTCTTGAAGTCTTCTTGCTTTCTGTATCATTAGGCTCCACAGCAAGCTTAGTCTCAATAAATCTTGTCTCGCCACGGCACATATAACCCCCCTTAAAGCTCCTCCCTTCAACTTTCAGATGAGCTGCAGAAGCTGCTCAACCAGTGATGACACATGGATAAACTTGGTCCCTCAATGAACCATCTACGCTCCCAGGTGCGTCAAAAGATGAAATCTGACACAGGAGTCCTCCAACTATGCAGAAAACATTGCTGACGTATGTAACCAGACAGTCTTTAGGTCTTGGAATGTGAACTCACGTGTCAATGCGTGCTCAAAAACATGCTCTGAAAAGACCAAACAAATGCATGTTTTCTATAGAAAAAACGGATGAGAGCAAAGCAACTTCCTTGTTGGAGGACTGGATGCCAGACCAGACATAATCTCCAAGATTACGAGAACAAAAAAGCCTTAATTCCCAAAATGCAAAAATAAAAAAAAGTTATTCATCAGACAGAGAACATGTCAAAACTTCAGTTTAAAAGTTCCCCAAAGTTTCTAATTCCAAAGAAGGTGTCTCCATAATGCTTAAATCCCCTTATTCATTAAGAAGTTTTAAATAACTTGGTGTAAAAGAGCATTTAAAGTGGGAAACTCAGGGGGTAATGGATTAATGTGAAAAGCTAAAACACAATTAAATCCAGGACAGTCTGTGTCATATAACAGAGGTGTGGCGAGGTGAAAAGCATTGATTGAGCTGTGGAACATGCAATTCAGTCTGTCTTATTATTGCTTTCAGCAGTAAATGTAATCCATTAAAGCCAATTGTTGCTTTCTGTAAAAAACAGTTTCAGCCTTCATCATTAAATCTGATGAAGAAAGGTTCAAATAGGTTACCTACGGTGGCCCTGAAGTGCAAACTGCAACTACAAATCTAAAAGCACAACTACATTAAGGAAATCGCAACTACATAAAACAAAGCGCAATTACATTAAGAAAAACAAAACTACATAAAGCAAAGTGCATCTACATTAAGAAAATGTAGTTGCGCAGCCAATTGGCAGCCAATTTAATATTCTACATTAAGGAAATCGCAACTACATAAAGCTTTGTTTTATGTAGTTGTGATTTCCTTAATGTAGTTGCACTTTGCTTTATGAAGTTTTGTTTTTCTTAATGTAGTTGCACTTTGCTTTATGAAGTTTTGTTTTTCTTAATGTAGTTGCGCTTTTAGATTTGTAGTTGCAGTTTGCACTTCAGGGCCACCGTAGTTACCAGTGGGTCAAGTGTGTCTGGAGATGGAAGAAAGCTATCTATGGCGTCATCAGGAACAGGATCTAAGATTGGAGCTGCATCTACAAATTTTATTTAAAAAAACTCACTTTGGGTCCTTACCAAGAACATTTGCACCTAAAGTGAAAATGAACCAAATTCTTATAGTCAGCCTTCGACCATGGATTATTCCACATGTTTTTAACAAAGATTCCTTCCTCGTTTGTAACTTTCTTTGGTTAGCATAGCTCTGACTAAACTAATCTGATTTCTTAAACCTGAACATAACCTCTGGGATTAGAATTCCAGTAGAAAGAAGACCAATCTGGACACCATGATTCAGATGCAGCTTTACCATGAGTGAAAATACAGAAAGAAACCTCAGCATTTCTATATAACTCATCAAACCCCTTACATGGAAACACTTCACACAGGTTGTATTCAGCTATTCAGTGTTGTTTCTGGGAACCAGTCTGATTACCTAGTCTGCTCCTGCTATTGTACTGTATGTTGGTTTACTCTGCTTTGGAAGTAACATCTCTTTTACCTCGTTTAGAGGCATTCAGAGGGCACAGTAGCAATGACATCAGCAGCAGCTGTATCGTGTTGAGCTCTTATCATATCATCAATTACCTTTTTTCCTCAAAGGTAAAAATGGTCAACAAACATCCACAAGAACAGAACACATGGATTCATCTGTACTTGTCCTGTTAGATCTCATTTCTCCATTTTATTCACTTGATCATAATATTATTTTATAAAAGCTTAAACGTTGTGTAGAAATTAAAGCATGTCTTGAAGACACAAATTTGGATGAGTTTCTGAAGAAGTTGCTGAAGAAGTTGATTAGTAAGTGACCTTATTTCGATGGGACTGAATTAGTCTCAGATAATAAAGTAAAAAAATCTTGGTGTAAATATCCTTATTTTATCTCCAAAATATTGCAAACATTAGAAATATCTTGTCCAGGGTGGATGCTGAAACTAATCAACAAGAGAAATTCATTACTATTTTCTACTGGAAGCTACTGGACTGCATCACAGATATAAAACAGTGGCTGTCACAGAACTTTTTGCACTTAAACGACAGCAAAACCGAATGCATTTTGTTTGGTTTTCCATCAATTTCAAATGTTCTAAACACAAACTCCAGCAATCTAGCCCCCCTTTTTAAATCTCATGTCAAAAATCTTGGGGTAACATTTGACAATGGGCTCAAATTTGACAAACAGATTAGCTCCGTTGTCAGCTCATGCTTTTTCCAGCTCCGTCTTTTGGCCAAAGTCAAGTCTTTTCTCAGTCGGCAGGATCTTGGGAAGGCAAGCTATGCTTTTATTAGTTCAAGACTGGACTACTGCAATGCCCTTTACGTTGGCCTCAGTCAGTCATCAATTTCTCGTCTCAAACTTGTGCAGAACGCTGCCGCCCGATTTTTTACAAACACGTCCAGACGTGAACACATTACTCCTGTGCTGTCGTCACTCCACTGGCTTCATATCCATTTTAGAATTGATTTTGAAATTCTGCTGTTTGTTTTTAACGCCATCCATGTCTTGGCCGCCTCCTTCTTGTCTGAGATTTTAACTTTTCGCAATTGTGGCAGAGCTTTACGCTCCTCGGGTCAGCTTCTGCTAGAGGTCACTAGGTCAAGACTCAAACAGTGGGGCGATCGTTCTTTTGCCGTCGCTGCTCCCAGCCTGTGGAACAAACTACCCCCTGACATCCGCACCACTACTGACCTCAGCCTTTTTTTAAAAAAAAGCTTAAAACCCACTTTTTTAAATTAGTGTTTAATTCTGACTAGGATAATACTGTCTCTTAGATGTCTTCTTTCTGTGTGCTCCTTTCTATGCAGCTCTGGAAGGCTTCTAATGTCCTGCAGCGCTGCACCACTACAGCACTTTTAATTGTATCTGTATGTTTTGTATGTGTTATGTATTGTTTTATGGCTTTGTTGTAAAGCACTTTGGGTACCATTTGGCTATTGTAAAGGGCTATACAAATAAACTTGATTTGATTTTGATTTGACTATTTTCATTTTAAAACAGGGTAACTTTTATGTACTCCAGCCTTAATGATTATCAATATGCGCAGTCAGCGGTGTCATTTGGAGTTAAATTAAAAATACAGTAAATAGCATACTGTCACTTATATATATGGGGGGTATACATTAATACAGAATTATGTAAGATACTGTAACTGTTCTAACCTGCTCATGCTTTAACAAGTTGTTATCGTTTAAATATTCTGTGTTATAACTGTTTTTATGATAATGAGGAGTCGGTAGATCAGTTATTCAGTAGCCTTGAGTAGCCTTTTGATCAAATACCTTTTTACTCTTACCTGAGCAATTTTTGGATGGCTAGATGGCAAGTTTCTTCGTTCTGACATTTGTGTGTAATTATTTGCTGTGTATAAAAAGTATTAACTAGAAATAAAAGCACACAACCGCTCTTATTTACTATTACTTCATTACCTTTATACACTGACCAAATACCAACAATCACCAGTGGGCTAGTACTAAGTACAAATTAAGCACTGTACGACAAACACTTTAATCGCATTCATCTTAAAATACATTGAAGGCTTTTTTTCCCCACAGATTTTATGGATTGCTTCTTATGTATCATATTGTTAAAATGAGGAAGTTATGTCCCCTAAAAAAGGCTGCTGCACCTTGGGGCTTCCTTACAGTTTTTTTCCTGGGAGCAAGTTATTTACTACTCTTAACTCAAACTGGGTAAAACCATATAAAAAAGGACTATAAAACAGGAGTAAAAAAGTAACAGAGTTTATTCCAGATCAGGTCGTTACAGGACAGAGAAAATGCTTGGAGCTTGCACAGCTGTGGGCTCCGCAAGCGTCCGGCAAAGATTGAGCCCCGAACAAGGTCATCACCTGCTTCGTATAGCTCATGAGTCTATGTGTTGCATCAGGTGGATGCTTAGCTGTCCGTATCATCAACTGACACGCCATCAATGCCCTGACTTATATGCAGCTTGCTTCTATGCCTCACGGTTACAGATAGCTCCCCTCTATCAGACCGGCTCCAAGATGTGCCCATATCCTGTGTACTCTTAAAGACACGAAGGCTGTCCTGATTAGATGACCTCCGTATACACAGTGACTTCCACAATGTGAAGGAAGGCCTTCTACTCTCTCTAATCTGGCTAACAAAGTAACAGTGCAAATGATGTATAAAACATAAACCTAACAATATTGGATGGTTTTATATTTAATAGAGATTTGCATAGTGACTTTGGAACATAAAATCTTTCAGTTTGAATTTTTTTTCCCACCTATAGATGCTTCAGTTAGACCAGGTCTGTGTACCTGCACAGCTACATACAGCTCTTAAGAAGAAAAACCAATGCTTAGCTCCTCTGGTTTTTGTGTTTTGTATTTTCCATTTGAAAAGAGTGCAGTAGTGCAGAACAGATATAGACTTGATGGCACCAGGCAGCCTATATTTACAATAGGTTTCATGCAGGGAAATTCCCAAAACAACTTGTTGCTTTAGAAACAGACAATGATAACAGAACTGTGACACGGAGAGTCTGTGACTTCTTTCAGATCGCTCATCCAACCATGATAAACACAAAACCAAGAACCCACTTTACAGGTTTTTTTTTTTTTTATCAGCAACATCAACCATGGGCGTATGTAGGTTTGCATAGGGACCATAGGGACATGTCCCTACCAAAATTTTAGATGTGAACAATATGTTTATATTTACAGCAGTAGTTGTTGCAGCAGTGGCTTCTTTTCCTCTTGCAGCTCCTCTGCCTGGTAGC